GCATTCCTGGTGGCAGCCACACCACTGGACCATGGCTGTCTCCCCAGGCCTCCCAGGTGTTCCGCCACACCTTTCCAGGGTCTTGTCTCAGGCGTGTGGCCCAGCAGCCTCCTCATTGGAGGACTCATCCACCTCTGGCCTTTCAATCCTTGCCCTAATGACCTTCCCCTCCGCTCCCACGCAGGCATCCCCCTCAACGTTGGCCACTCGCTGGAACGATCCCCGATTTCTTCCCTAGCTGCGGCTCATTCTCGCTGTCCCTCCTGGCCACTATCCCTGCTCTAACGCATCCTGACTGAGACCCTGGACTTCCCCCTGAGGTCACCGGCCTCCTCTTCCCCCAGGCCAGTCATCTCAGACACTTACTGAAGAGGCCTGAATTCTCTCCCCACCTAGTACTTCCCCTGGCCCGCCCAGAAAAAGCCCTTGAATCCTTCACATGACTACGACATGTGCCAGGGGGGAACCCACATTACCGCCCTGACCCGGGAGCTCAGTGTGTTAGTGTCACCCTGATGCATCAAGGCTGCGGGGTCGATCCCTGGTCAGGGCAAACACAAGAATCCACCAATGAATGCGTGAATAAGTGGAACAGCAGATTGATGTTTCTCTCTCTCTCTCTTGCATGCGCTCTCTCTCAAAACAATCAATAAGTTAAAAAAACAAAAAAACCACAACCAGAGCACACAGGTCAGTCATCTGGGCCTGAATGCTGCCGGAAGTCCCGTAACCGCCCCTCTCAGCTTCTTGGCACACTCCCGTAGGCAGGTATTTCACCCCCCACCACCTTAAAACCTCCGTTCCACTCCCTGGCGCTCAGCAGGCACCCCTGCCTCCTACTCCCCAGAGAAAAGCCAGGCCACCAGGGCACAGCCTATCCGAGGCCACCCCATCCCCTCTCCCTTCACGCTCCTTTTCACCTCCTAAGTACGCAGGTCTCCCCATCCTTGGAGAAAGAAAACTGTAGTGTGGGTCCCCTTCAAGCTACTCTTTCACCGTGTGAGGCCGACTCCCCCCTCTTCACCATCAAGCTTCCCTTTTTAAACTACAGCAGTGATATTTTTAAAAAGAATTCTCAAACTTCTTGCAACAATGGTGCGAGGCCTCGAACCCTGTGCCTGAGTCTTCTATACCAGTCACCCCTCAGCTCACTGTGATCCGGTTTGGGTCTTCCTGGGGCCATTAGAAATGTTTCCACCAGCCCCTCCAGTGATCCTTCAGTCACCGAGTTCCACGGCCGGTCTCCAGTCCTCATCCCACGTGACCATCTCAGCATCTGATGTGCTTGGTTCTTATACTCTGAGTCTTTCTCCTCCTTGGTTTGTGATTGAGCCCCTTGGGGTTCTGTCCCTGCCTCCTTCTCCTCTCCTGCCATGGCCTCTGCCAGGATGGTCTAGCTCATCCTTCTTACAGTCAGCACCCCCCAAAATGCCCCTGTGGCCCTGAGTCCGGCCCTTTTCCCACAGACTCCTGGGCCTCTCCAGTTGGATTCTCTATAGACACACAAAGGTCTCAAACGGCCCATTCCTCTTACCCCAGGCCTGCCCCACCTCTCTCCCTGGCACCTGCCCCGTCCCAGGCATAAACCCCCAGTCTCATTCAGCACCCCAGTCCTGAGGCCACCACCGACTTCTCCTGAGCTAAGACAGCCTCCTCTCTGCCTTCTTAGCTTATTGTCCCAAAAGACAAATTACGAACATGTCACTTCCGGACCAACGATCTTCTGATGGCTGGTCATGCCTTCTCCCGTCTCTCCCCACCTGGACTTCCCACCTCATCTCCCAGCATTCTCTGAGGTTCCCACCCAGACACACTCCCGCCCTCCCTTAGGTTCTCCCCTCCCAAGTGCCTCAGAGCTTCCAGGCTCACACAGGCCCCCCGCCCGGAATGCTTTCCTCCGCTCTTCAGCCTAACAAGCCACCAAGGTGCTCCCAGTCCCACCTCTTTCTTCTCTTCTCAGAAGCCGTCGTTAATGCACCCCTATTCCAGACGGTTGTTCTCTGCACTGCCCAGCGCCCGCCTCACTCCTTGCATGGGCCACTCTCCACACCGTTGTCACTTACCTATTAGATTCACTCCCCCCACCCCCCAGCCCCCCATTCAGTGGGCTCTTCCCGGGCAGGGTGCTGACACGGAGCAAGCACTCCGCAAACCTCCATCCCTCCCCTCTTTTCATCTGTCTCCAGCTCCAACAGAGGACCAGGCGCCGAGAAGCCATCTGTAAACACGCTCAGGCCTCCCAGGCCCCAGTCCTGCTTCCTGCTCACCTGGGCTCAGAGCTGGACCCCGATGAGAGGGTCCTGCCCAGCGCTTCTTGGAGCCGCTGCCGCAGTAACGCCTCCTGCGCGGGGCTCTTCCTTCGAGCTGCAGCCAGCCACAGCCGGGGGCCTTCCTCATCGCTGGAGTCCCTGGAGGAGCCTCCCCTGTCAGTGGCCCACAGAGGCCCTGGGGTGGGGGTGGGGGGTTGCTCCCACTGCCCCAGACTCCCGCCGCCCCATCGCGGGGGGAGGGGGGGGACTCACAGCTCCAGGTCCAGCTCTCCCTGGTAGGAGAGGGGTGATGCGCATACAGAGCAGGTGTTGTCCAGGAGGCGGAAGCAGGTGGGGCAGAAGAGACCTGGGGGGTGGGGGGGGGGTTGCTCCCACTGCCCCAGACTCCCGCCACCCCATCGCGGGGGGAGGGGGGGGACTCACAGCTCCAGGTCCAGCTCTCCCTGGTAGGAGAGGGGCGAT